AAAACAGACAAATCCAAATATGTAAAAATATACAGGGTGTTCCATTTAAAAAAATAAAGTAGGTGGCGACTTCCGGTATAACCAGAAGTGCTAGAAAACTGAAAATATTTTAGACGAAGAGAACATAATTGATAATACTTAAGTTCTCAATTTTTTATTTAGGCCAGAACACCAGAAACGTCTAATGACCGGTCTCGCTGAGACTCCCTGTGTGCTTTGACGTTTTATATTGCCCTTTATAAAATCATTTATAGTTTTGGAAAACTTTAGAAAGACTTAATGATGGACTGATGAAAATGAAATCTATTTTGCTTTTGGTTATTATTAAATTGTGATTATTATTAATTGAATATTATTAACAACGTTTATTGATGAAGAAACCTATTCTTCTCAAGAATTGTAGATACAAAAAAAAATGTTTGAGATCTTTATTTTAAATCAATATTTCATTGATGAGTCACTCGATTTCATTTCAATTACTGAAATTCAGTTTGAAACCCTTACAGAGAAACTAATCAGGAGCTTAACAACTTCAACACGTGGGTTTGGGGACAAGGGTTTAATTGAAATTTCTCTAAACGGGTGTTAGTGTTGTATAACTTGAAGTCTTGTAGGTGTTAGATATAATCCCGCGTTTAATTATTTTCTTAGCTATTATTAAACTTAATTTCTAATTTTAAATGACTCAAGATTATAATTTATTAAATTATAACAAACCTGTTCGGCCGCTAGTTGTTCCCTAGTTAATTGTAACTGAGCCATAGCAGCTTGAGTTTGTTGACTTTGCTGTTCTAATTGTTCTCTTAACAGCTGGATTTCGTGTTGGGCCGATATCGCATTTCCCGTTGAATTTAAATTTGTTCCACCGCCGAGTAAATTATCGTTGTGAGGATTCGAAAATGTATCCATTGGCGATTTTCTTTGGAACAGGTTAACATTACTGTTATTATGGCTGTTAGCGTTACTATTTGCTAACGTGTTATTCGCACTATTATTCACTGACGTGTTATTACTGCTGTTGTTATTTAAAGTTGGAACTGACAATAAATCCACATGGTATTGTCTGTTATTGGTGTCCATACCGTTCATATCTTTATTGGCGTTGTGTTCATCTGGCAACGAAGCTTTGTCGCTAGCACCTTCGGACATTAAATCTAAAATTAAATAAGAAACAATTAATAATTTTTATTACTTAGTAATTAAATTTGGGTTTATATATTAATTAAAGTGAGTTAAATTCGTTTTGGCTTTTTGTATACACGTGTCAAGAAAGATTGTTTTAGAAATTACGTTTGAATCATGAATCATTTCCAAGTTAAAAGACACTATTTCTATTTTATTTTATTTTAATTTCATGTTTAAAAGTTTGTCCAACTAAATAAATACGCGTATTGAGCCGATTAAAAGTAGCGCGCGAAAACCAAAACTACAAAACCAACGCGTTGCGAGAATTTTGGTAAACTGCGAGTACGTCAAGGATTTTATTCGGATTATTCTACTCTGCCATAATCTGAAGCGTTGACGTCAAATCGCATGTATGTAATTTCGGTGAGCATTATTACGCGAATAGAAGCGTACTATTAATAAATACAGTTTATACAACAAAGAAGAATTCTATTTTATAAATTTATAAAACGGAACAAATCGGAACATAAAAACTTGAAATAAAATAACTCCGCACATTCAATTAACACCAGATTAATTTTGAGAGAAAGAAAAGGAACATCTTCACGCCACAAATCAACAACAAAATTTACCAACTGTGTGGGGATTGGACTAAGGAGGAGGTTTGAAAGCTCATTTCCTCTACCAGCGAGCAAAATTGGGGTTATCCGATGAAGATTCACAGTGAATTTAGCGGCGACCGCAAGAGGTCGACTTTCTCTATATTTAGAATTCGCCGGCATATTTAGCTCCTAGTTACCAACTTGTCTCAGCTGAAGAGAAATTACAAAATGTACAAAAAAAACAAGATTAAAAATAAAATGAAAAACCTGAAGAACATCTGCAACTTATTTAAGACTGGATCTGATGTCGTCGTCGACTAGAGCTATGTTTAGGAGATAATTGGGGTGGAATGGGGAATAAAGAATGTCCAGAAACTGTGTCAACTTTTTCTTTTTGAAAACGTAATAAGGTTTATTTCTTTCTTTCATACACTGAATTTCACTTAAAATACAAAAATATACAGGGTGTCTCAGCGAGACCGGTCATTAGACGTTTCTGGGGTTCTGGCCAAACAAAAAATTTGAGAATGCAGACTTAAGTATTATCAATTACGTTCTCTTCATCTAAAATATTTTCAGATTTCTAGCACTTCCGGTTATACCGGAAGTCGCCACCTACTTTATTTTTTTAAATGGAACACCCTGTATATTTTTACATATTTGGATTTGTCTGTTTTGAAGGTTTATAAATAACTTTACTTTTTGCAATTTGAACCAGCAATTCTCGAGTTATTCGAATTTTTCTAGAAAAATTTGCTCCAGCGGACATTTGTTCAAAAAATCATAGAACACTCAATTTTTGAGATATCAATTTAGGATTCAGAACATGCTTAAACAACATGATGGAGTATGTTTTGGTGCCGAGAACGGCTGTCTAGATCGTTTGGTCACTTTACTATGATACGTTAACTTTTCGAAATTTGGAAGCACCATAACTTCATTTTTTTAAATGGCACCCCCCATATTTTATTACTTAGTCGTCTTCGGCGTCTCATTTTACATCTTTTATATTCCATATGTCCTATGCCTAACATTAATAGTTTGAGAAATAATTAGGGTTTTTTGAAAAATGCTCACATATCATATGGATATTAACCTAGTGTGCCATGGAAAACAAATGTTTAATGACTTATTGATAAACGTCAAAGTCTAATTTAGGTTGTTTGATGCTTGTGAGTCTAAAACCAGTTAAAATGGATATTAATAACGTAAATAATGTTTATACAAATGAAGAAATCCATAATTTATTTTTTGTGCACGAAAAGTGCGACAAAGTTCTTAGTAGAACTTGCAGAATGTTTAATGAAAATTATCCACATTTATCTCCGATGACAAAAGGTAAATTTAGAGGAATAGAAGCAAATTTTTTGCATTTTGGACGAATTAATCACGTGTTAAACTGACCAAAAAATGTAGTAGATAATGCAACGGAAGAGGTGAATACCTTGGCTTATTTCGAGCCCAGTCCCAACACCTCAATTCGAGCTGCCAAAGAAGATCTGGGAATCATACTACGAACTTTGTCGCGCTTTTCATGCAAAAAAAATAAATTAAGAATTTCTTGATTTGTGTAAATATTACTTTCGTTATTGTTATCGATTTTAACTCGTTTCAGTACTAATATTAAGGGACATAACAGATAATTATTAGCTCACATGCATCAAGTGACGTAAACAAGTGAGTCTTTGACAAGAACTCATTGAGAAGGCTTGTTTTTCATGGCACACTAGGCTAAATATCCATATGATATGTGTGCATTTTTCAAAAAACCCTAATTATCTCCCAAACTATTAATATTAGGTATGGGCCATATGGGATATAAAAGATGTAGAATGAGACACCGAAGACGACTAAAAAATAAAATATGGGGGGTGCCATTTAAAAAAATGAAGTTATGGTACTTCCAAATTTTGAAAAGTTAACGTGCCATAGTAAAGTGATCAAACGTTCTAGACCGCAGTTCTCGGCACCAAAACATACTCCATCATGTTGCTTAAGCATGTTCTCAATCCTAAATTGATATCCCAAAAATTGAGTGTTTTCTGATTTTTTGAACAAATGTCTGCTGGAGCAGATTTTTCTAGAAAAATTCGAATAACTCGAGAACGACCGAATCAAATTGCAAAAAGTAAAGTTATTTATAAACCTTGAAAACAGACAAATCCAAATATGTAAAAATATACAGGGTGTTCCATTTAAAAAAATAAAGTTGGTGGCGACTTCCGGTATAACCGGAAGTGCAAGAAATCTGAAAATATTTTAGACGAAGAGATCGTAATTGATAATACTTAAGTCTGAATTCTCAAATTTTTATTTTCGCCAGAACCCCAGAAACGTCTAATGACTGGTCTCGCTGAGACACCCTGTATATCCATAGAAACCAGGGCTATATAATTTGACATTATAGTAAAACCTCGATATAACGGATCAATACGGGTAACACAGTGTCCGTTATAGCTCGATAAAAATATACAACAATCTAGCGCTGAATAAAAAACAAAATTAGACTAACACTAGCGCCAGAACTAACACTAGACCTAGAACTAGCCGTCTTAAAAGGCGTGCGGCTAAATCCGAATGTGAGTTAGTTCTAGTTTTGCGTTCAATGGTTTCTGATATACAAGGTGATTCATTAGCTCTATGACAAACTTTGGCAGATGAAAGGTGATGCGATTCTAAGGAAAAAATGTTATATGAATATGGGTCAGATTCATTTTGGTTAAAGAGTTACAAGCCTTTGAAAATTTTACACAGTTTAATAGGCAAATGAAAATGTAACATAAAAAATAAGTTTAAAAATTACAAAAATTGTTCGAAATGTCCGCCTTCAGCTTGAATGCACGCTTCACATCGACGAAGTAAAGATTTGCAACAATCGCAACAATAATTATGAAAC